AAAGATCTTCTTAGGATGAAGCAGTTTTAGATTGTAAATACCAAATGGAAAGGGACATATAAAATTCTTCTGCTGTTAGGTTAAACACAAATAGGTATGCCTTTTCTTTTCTTTTTTTTAACTCCTATTTTTCTTTTTTAAAAAATCTTGCTACTGGGGATTGAGCCTGGGGGTCATTCTACCACTGAGTTACATCCCAATCCTTTCTGTTTTTGAGATAGGTCTCCCTAAATTGCTGAGGCTGACCTTGAACTTGCAATCCTCCTGCCTCAGCCTCCATGAGTCACTGGGATTACAGGCATGCACCACTGTGTCCAGCTTAAATTCCTAGTTTTCAAAAACATGATATCAAGTGCTTCTGGGGGAGATATTTTGTAGGGGGAAAAAGGGATAGGAAGTCTCTATGTGCTCTGGCAGCTGAGTTATGAATAAATAGGGAGGAGGAGGAAGATAAAATGGAGCTGGAGAGAGGCCTGACCTGATGGTAGTTGGAAAGGTTGCTATGCATGTCAGCAATGTCTTCACTGGATACTTCCTTGATGACTAGAGTCCGATCATAGGAGATAAGAAAACGGCCATCGCTCCCTTCACTTTCACTTGGGGGGCTTCGGGTAAGGGACACCTGGAAACAAAAGAATAGGCTAGAGGCTCTTCCTCACATTTTACGTGGAGATACAAATCATGGGATAATGGCCACCCAAATGCTTCTGAAAGTGAATAAAACCCTTAAATTGAACATATAATTTTTAATGTACTTATATTTTTCCCCAAAGACAGCTTCATTAAATTAGTTTCATTAGCTTTCATTAGATTTTTAAAAGATGTCTGTGACCACTAAAGATAAAGAATCATATTTGCTGAGACTTTCCTTTTACCAAACATAACTCTCCCAAGGACTCCCAGTTGCTAGGGATTACCCTCATTCCATAATATGTTCTCACCAAGTAATCCTGGTCATCAATGCCAAATCGATCACGAAGGTTCCTGAAGACTTGGGGACAATACTCCTTGAACTTGAAATGACTGGGCAGATTTTCTCTGTTAATATGAGTTTTCAAGATAAGACAACAAATCACTTTTTGTCAATATCACTTTGCATTTATATAAGGCTTGGAAGTTTATAAAGCACCTTTACACTTTTTGGGAAGATGAGGTATCGGAGATTGAACCCAGAGGTGCTTAAGACTAGCCACATCCCCAGCCAGTTTTATATTTTATTTTGAGACAGGGTCTTGCTAAGCTGCTTAGAGCCTTGCTGAGTTACTGAGGCTGGCTTTGAACTTATGATCCTTCTGCCTCAGCCTCCCAAGCCACTGGGATTACAGGCATGCACCAATGAGCCCAGCTGCTCATTTGATTCTCATAAAACCCCATAAGGTACTTTAAAGGTACATTGTTCTCATTTTAGAGAAGGGAAAATTGTGTCTCAAGTTAATTGACTGACCTGCCCAAGTCACAAGGCTAGTAAGTAGTATAAGTAGATCAAGGATCTACTGTCCATCCAAATAGGAGCATTCCCCCAATCTCAAGCAAGTTAAAGACATTCTAAAGTTGGAAATAGGTATCATTGTTTTGAAAAGTATCTTCTAATAAAAGGGTGCTAAAGTACTTCTTTCAAGGAATCCCTATTTGAAGTTAATGGTAACACATCTGAATACATTCACTCTATGCAACTTCCAGGCTAAAAGAGAAATAACACTGGTAAATACAAGTATGAAGGCAATATTAGAAATTATTTCAATATTTTTTCCCCACAAAACTGAATTTCTGCATTGAGAAATGTTTATACAACATTTTTGTGTGTGTGTGTTTGGTGCTGGGGATTGAATCCAGGGTCTCATACATGCTAAGCAAGTACTCTATCACTGAGCCACATCCCTATCCCCTAGACCATACAACTTGTAAGTTGACTTCTAAATCTAAAACAATTTAACTCCCTGAATCTTTAAAAAATTATTATTTTTCTAAGAGATTGCCATAAGAAGGGCAAGGATTCCTCCACTTACCTGTGGAAAAGATGATTATTAACCTTGATCTTGGAACTAGCTTTAAAGTCATCTGGCAGCAGCATCACTGGGGGAGGCACCTGGCTGAGCTCATTGATCTGATAAGTCAAAACATGAATAGCGAGGCAGCAAGTAAGGGTATGGAGAGCACTTATATACTGTGTCTGGGCGGGAGTCAGGAAAGGGCAACTCAAACCTTTTTCCTTTAAAAACACTGGCTGTACATAATCTTGAAGTGAGAAAAATGTGTCTAATCCATTCTGCTTCCCAAGAAGGACTGTGGTAAGCAATCCTTACACTCCCTCCCCCATGGAACTTCATGCTCACAACAGGAATTTTATATTAGGCAAACCCTGTAAGCAACTTAGGACTATTTTTAAAGCTGTGAGAAATTCTAGAAAAAAAAATCTGCAGACTCAAGACAAAGTTACATGTGTTCCATTAAAAAAAAAAAACATTTTTTAAAGCGCACAGAGAGTTAATGGGACTCTTGAGGAGATCAAAAGTGGCAAGAAAATGAAATGTTCATATTCTATAAAAGGTATCTCCTTTAAAACAAGACAGTCCTTCCAGAGCACTCTGACCTAGTTCTCTGCAGCAGGTGCCCACCTGCCTAAGTATAAGGTAAAGGAAGAGCAGTTGATCTCAGAGGGAATGCCAGCCCTCAGAGAATATGAGTCCATTAGGTGTCTATTCCTTAAAGTTAAGCCAATACACCACCCAAAAGATGCAAACATCACATGCTGTCCTTTACTCCCAGGATATGCAGCCTGCTAACTCAGAGTAGATAGGGGACTCCTGTATTTACGAATCCCAAGGAGATGTGCTTTCTACTTGGTGTTGCTACAGCACCTTTTATTTGCCTTTAGTAGTGCATGTACCACATGACTCTTAACATCAGTTTATGTAAGTACATCCCTCAAGACTGTGAGCATTTCAAGGCAGGACCTGTCCTTATCATGTACATTTCTCAAGTGCCTAGCTAGCACAATGACCCTCATTTACACCAAATACTATCACTCCAGCCAGCAATGGGGATATGTGTGTGTGTGTGTGTGTGTGTGTGTGTGTATTTATTCCTGAGTTAGTACAATCTCTAGGCTCATGATGGGTAGGTTTTCTGAAATCCCATACCTCTGGAAGGAAAGGAAAGTTGTGAAATGTTCATTAACTGAATAAATAAATACCTTGCTTATTCTTACTTGATAATTTAGAAAGGTTGAATTGTGGTTTAACCTAAATCCCACACACTGAAATGCATGTAACTCCTCCCATTCTCAGTAGAAAAGGAGGACAGAACATATTCCTCTAGGAAAAAAAGACACTTGAGATTCCCAGCCTAAAATTTAGATATAGCATTTCCTGCCCCCTCTACACCACCTGCTAAGCAGGCTGAATCACCACTAAGGCATATGTTCAAGGAATTTCTCCATTCCAGACACCTGAAGTAGATATATGTTGGCTGGAGGTTTCGGTGCTGGAGCTGAAGTTTATATATCTAAAGAAGCTGAGGCAGGTCTTACATGTAATCCCCCCAATCCTTACCAAAGGAAAAGCCTTCCTGCAGGGATGGATGAGTCAACTGGAAGGGACACATGGAGAGGCAGCCCTTCCTCCATCAGCCTTGCCCATACCAAGTGCCTTAGATTAGATACTTGATAATAACACATGACCACTCCGCAAGTTGCAAATGCAAAAGGGGGTCAAATGACCCCAAATGATACTCGTAAACTACAAATCAAAAATGTGATTAAAAACTGCATTCATCTGCACCCCCTTCCACCTCCACAAGTCTGCCTTGACTATAACAATTCAAGGAAGTTGACTACTAAAATATTCCCTGCCACATTAAGATCACTGCATCCCTCCCACTCCAGATCTGAGGGAAAGGGAGCAGCCCAGCTATAGGCCTCCCAGGAGAGATATACTAGCCTTCTTGGCATCCTCCTGACTCCCAGGTCATACCCTTTAGAGCAGTTTCCTCCTAAAGTTCACCAATGTTGATGTCCCTGGGACCAGAGCTCCTCAGCCTTTTCTTTGCACAAGAATAAGACCCACTTACACAGAATACCATCACTCCAGTCAGCAGTGGGGATGCAATTAAGACCAAATGCATATATACATAAAGTACTGAGTGAGTACAACCTCTAGGCTCAGGGTGGGGCTCAGAAATGCTGTACCTCTGGAAGGGAAAGGAAGGGACAAGCAGGATTAGAAGGTCCAAAAAATCTGGAGCTTTCCCCAGACAATCAAGGCTCCAAAGTCAAGGACTGAAGCTAGAAAGCAAGGTGGAAAGGAAAGTGAATAATCTCCTTCACCCAGCTACTCCACCCCTCCTCCACACCCTTCCACACACCAAGACCTCACCACCAACAACCCAAAGAACCACTCCCCTAATGTCCCTCCTGCAGGAGCTGATCAGGGCCAGTTTCCGTAGCCTGGGGCTGAAACTGGACTTGGTGTAAGAAGCCAGGGAAGAGAAAGCTGGATTTCAGGTGGGGAAGGTGGAACTCTAGGGGAGGAGTAAAGGGAGGAGGGGGAAGACTAAAATCAGCAACCCGAAGATAACCTGGGGGTACAACTGGGGGTTGTTGAGCAGGGATCTGGGCAACCCGGGCGCAGGGGGTGGGGGCGGTGGAAATCGCAACGCGAGGGGCTGGGAATGCTGGAGCAAGGAAAACAGAGACACCCCAAGGCGCGGGAGGGACTTTTGCCAGGGTTGTGAGGGCTAGGACTGGTTCTCACCGAGTGGGCTACGCCCCACAGGAACACGCCCACCAGCGGGTCGGCAGCCCGGAACACCTTCACCTTCTGCTGCACGAAATGCTTCTTCTTGGTTTTGGAGGCGAAGCCGAAACCCGGGCCTGGGCCCGCTGTTGCCGCTGGTGCGGCGGCTGGCGGGACAGAGGACGCCATAGTCTCCTGCGCACCCGACCGAGTAGAAGCAGGAGCCGGTCGCGATCCCAGCACCCGACCCCGGAAGCTGTGCTCACCTGCGCCGCTATCACGTGACCGGAGGCTGGACCGCAGGCGCGCGAGTGGGGCGGGGCGGAGCCGTGGCTCCGCCCCCTATGTCTGCTTGCCCAACGCCCGCGAAGTGGGTGGGCTCACCTGACGCCTGTCCTGTGTGCGGGAACTCAGGATTTCAGATGGCCGCCCGCGGCCCGCCAGGAGGCTCAAGTGTGTCTTGTGCTGGTTTGATTTACTCCCAGGTCGGGAACTTATTCACTGAAAAGTCACCGCCGTCCAGCTTTGCCCAGTTTCTAATGAGTAACCTCCAGTCTGAGGCTAACGCGAAAGCGTTTCCTTACCAAATAGGAATCGGGTAGGAGCCAGAATGGGAAATCCAGAATTGTTATCAGTGGCCTCAAGCTTTTTAAAATTCATCCGTTCATTCATCTATTCAACAAATATTTATTGGTCACTTACTTGTACCCAAGTAAGTGGGAGGCAGCCCTTCCTCCATCAGCCTTGCCCATATCAACTGCTTTAGACTAGATACTTGATAATATACATGACCACTCCGCAAACTGCAAACACAAATGGGGGCCAAATTACCCCAAATGACACTCTAAGCTACAAATTTAAAAATGTGATAAAAAGTGCATTCATTTGCACCCCCTTCCCAGTACTGTTCTTTGGATTCATTCTCCTTAGATTGTAGCAGGGAGATATGATAGTCCCCGCCCAAAATAAATTGGGAGTCTAATATTACTAGCTGGCCAGGGAGATAGTTGGCAACATTCAAGAAAAGTGCTGCACTGGAGTTCTGTAAGACAAAATGCTAGTGACAGAAGGAGGACAGTGGAACTGGCAGGGAAGCCTTGGAAGAGAATGGAGACTCTGTGCTGGGTATGGGAAACTGGATAAAGTTCAGAACTAGGGGTTAAAATGCTCTCAGAGAACGGTGTAAAAAACCTGGAGATGAGAAAGAAATAATGTGTTTCTGAGAGATGTAGGTATAAGGTAGAACTAGAGTTTGATAACTAGTTGGAAGAAGCAAGACTTAAGGTTAGGGAGGGTAGGCACTGAAGATCCTTCAAGTAGTTTTAATCTGTTAAATGTGCTTTTTAGAAGGACCATTCAGGCATCATTCTGGAAGGTGACTGGAGTGTTGCAAAAGTTTATATACAGATGGTGAACTAAAGCAGCGGCTGTTGGGTTGGGAGAAGGGGATGTAATTTTTTTTTTCCAGGTACTGGGGATCGAATCCAGGGGCACTTTGCCACTGAGCCCTTTTTAATTCTTATTTTGAGATAGAGTCTCATTAAATTGTGAAGGCTGGCTTCCAACTTGGGATCCTCTTCCTATCTGAGCCTCCTGTGTCCCTGGGATTACAAGCATGCACCACTGCACCCAGCAAATGGGAGACAATTTAAAGATATTTTTTTTTCAAAGAGAGAGAGAAGAGAGAGAAAGAGAGAGAGAGAATTTTTTAGTATTTATTTTTCAGTTTTTGGTGGACACAACATCTTTATTTTTATGTGGTGCTGAGGATCGAACCCAGTGCCCCATGCATGCCAGGTGAGCAAGTTACCACTTGAGCCACATCCTCAGCCCTAAAGATACAGTTTGATGTTGATTTTGAAAATTCATAGTGGATATGGGGTTTGGGGGAAAAGGGAGACATTGAGGGTGAGTCCTAGGCTTCTGGGTAAAACGAGGAGAGATGGTAGTGAAAAAGAGCAGTGTAAGGGAGACGAGTTTAGTTTGGAATATGTATGAGCACCTGAGGGCAACTGGACAGACATATGGGCCCAGAGTTCATGAAAGTGGTATGTGTTAGGGATACAGATTTATGAATTGTGGAAGTCTGTGGACATGTATGACATCTCCCCAAAACAGCAAAGAAAGAACCAAGGGCTGAACTTTGGGATAGAGCAAGCATTTACAGGTGTGTGCCACTGCCACACTGCCACTACCAGCCAGGTGCAGTGGCACACACCTGTAATCCCTGCAACTTGAGAGGCTGAGGGCAAGAGGATCACAAGTTCAAAGCCAGCCTCAGTAATTTAATGAGGTGCTAAGCAACTCAGGGAGACTCTGAGTTATAAAATATAAAAAGGATTGGGGATGTGGCTCCGTGGTACAGTGCCCCTGGGTTCAATCCCTGGTGCCAAAATAATAATAAAAAATAAAAAATAAAATAAGAAGGGGATTGGGGATGTAGCTCAAGATAAAATGCCCTGGGTTCAATCCCTAATATTAAAAAAAAAAAAGGAAGGAGTGGAGAACACAGAGAGGTGAAGCAGACAAAAGACTGAGAAATGCCTGTTTTATGTGGTAAGAGGTAAGCTTTGGAAAAGTAGTTTGGGCAGAACAAGAGCCAGATCAGGACGGGCGAAGGAATGACTGAGAGATGAGGAAGTGGGGATGGGAAATTGGTACTGTTTCTGGAAATTTGGGGAGTCTGTTATTAGAGAAGCACACAGCAAAGTAGGGACTCATAGTGGGGAGAGACTTTATAAGGAAAAATGATTGAGAGATGTTACTGAAGAAGATGCAAATGACTCAAGCCTGCAACACTTTTGGAGGGAGTGAGGTGAGGGTGTGGGTACCAGAAACTGTGTGCTCTACCACTGAACTAGTTTCAGATTTTTTTTTTTTTAATTTTGGGACAGGGTTACCCAAGCTGGTTTTGAATTTGTGATCCTTCCACCTCAGCCTTCAGAGCTGCTAGGATTACAGGTGTGTGCCACCATATCAGGCCACTTTTAGTTATATACTGAGGTTCTAAGTAATAATCTCAAGAATCAAGTAACTAGGGGCTAGGAATATAGTTCAGTGTTAGAGGACTTGCCAAGAGACAAGAGCAAAGATATGCAAAAGCCCCTAGCATCCTACAGTAAGGGAGAATTAAGTATCTAGAAGAGATTTACTTCAGCCCAGAAAAAGGAGATTCATCACTTGTCATAAGAATGAAAGGACATATCGCGATATAGTTTTGTCTGTGGTGGTTGAAATTCATGCTTGATCACATTATTTTTTTTTAAGTAGAAGATAAAGTTGTCTGGGAGTGGTAGGCAGGAGATCTTGAGATGTGAGGGTTTAAGCTAGTTGCCCTGGAGGACAGGAAAGGGAACTGAGCAGGGAAGAACAGGAGGAATACAGAGCAGCACTGAAGGTCCAGATGTATTTGTAGCTCTTCATATTTAGTTGCCCATCCCCACCCCCAGTACTAGGGATTGAACCCAGAACTTCATACATTCTAAGTAAGTGTTCTACCACTGAGCTACATTCAGTGGTATGTATGTGGCCCTTTGTTTTACTTTTGAGCCAGGGTCTTACTAAGTTGCTGAGGCTGGCCTAGAACTTGTGGTCCTCCTGCCTTGGCCTCTCAGTTGCTAGGATTACAGGTGTGCACCACTCCACCCAGCTTGCTCTAGTTTTTTGGTTATATATTTTTCTCTATCTCAGAAGCTTTTATTGATGAGCAAATAGTGGTAGATAATGTTGGAACAGAATTGAGCTGTTAGCAGGGGAGGAATAAAGACGTTGGTGGGGGGAAGGAATTGACTCTGGAACTAAGATGATGGGGTCTGGGTAAAAGATTAAGAGAAATTTTTTGTGAAAAAATTATAACCATCCTAGATATCCACCAACCTAGATATCTGGAATACTTGACAAACTATAGGATAATATATGAAAAATTATGTGGTTTTTCTTTTAGAACTGAACTCAGGGGCACTTAACCACTGAGCCACATTCCCAGCCCTTTTTAAAAATATTTTATTAGATACAGGGTCTTACTGAGTTGCTTAAGGCTTTGATAAGTTGCTGAGGCTGAGTTTGAACTCATGATCTTCCTGCCTCAGCCTCCTGAGTCTCTGGGATAACAGGCATGCACCACCATGCCCAGCAATTATATATGTGTGTTTTTTTTTTGGGGGGGGGTACCTGGGATTGAATTCAGGGGCACTCAAACACTGAGCCACATCCTCAGCCCTATTTTGTATTTTATTCACAGATAGGGTCTCTTGAGTGGCTTAGCGCTTTGCTTTTGCTGAGGCAGGCTTTGAACTTGAAATCCTCCTGTCTCAGCCTCCCAAGCTGCTGGGATTACAGGCGTGCGCCACTGCACCTGGTTTATATATGTTTTAATGAGGTAAGTCAGTGTACGCTGACATGAAAATCTTTCTAGGATTTGTCGCGTGGAAAAGAAAATTATGTGAATATGTAGAAAAACATCTGGAAGGATATATACCATGCTGTTAAATGCCATTATATGCAACAGTGATCGAGAAGAGTGATAAAGAAGATTTGCAACAACACATGGAGTCATCATTGAATTTATTTTATTTTAAAGGTACCTATGTACACTGAGTAAATACACACTGGGGTTTGTGCAGTTTGGTTTGTTTTTCCACACTGGCATGCAACATTTTGGCAGATGTGAGTGGGCAAGCCAGGTACCCCTTGTGATGAGCCTGGCTGTCTGTAAGGGATGTGGTGAATGTAGGGAACAGGAAGAGGCGGAAGAGGATACAGTATGAAGCTTCTGGTGAAAGTTGTGCATGTGTTCTTATTTGTATAAGTGAATTATATTTCCCTTACATCTTGCTAAAGAGAAGGCTGCTCCCCTGTGTCACCTCTCTTTTTATCTGCCCTACACCTTCACATCTTTTTAAAGTGTGTTCTTTTAAATAATCATTTGGTAGCAAAATTACATAAAATCCCCTCGATTCTAAGGTTTCCTGCTGGCAAAGTCCACGGGTATTCTGGTAACTTCCTTCCTCTCTGACTGGGTCTGGGACAGCATGGCTCATCTACCTTACCCCATTTACCCCATCCCTCTTTTCTATGAGTTATAGGTTTGGTGTAGGAAATCCAGATTGTACCCCCTTCTTCAGAGCAGTGGTTTTCAAACCACTCTATAGAACCCTTGGGATCTCTTAGGGCTCTTCCAGGGCTCTTCAACTAATAAAGCATTTTCCACCAAAAAGCAAAAGAAAGAGAAAAGAAAATGCAAACTACCCAGGTCTGCATTATTTCCCTTCCCACCCCCCTTTATTTTTTATTAATTAATTAATTTATTTATTTGCAGTGCTGAAAATTGAACCTAGAGCTTTGCGTGTGCTAGGCAAGCTCTACCACTGAGCTACACCCCTAGTCTATGTTATTTTTTACGTTGGAGTTCTACATAAGATTTATTTTGAAAAGTGTTTGAAAATCACCAGTTTGGATTTATTTCAGACCCCTCTGATTTTGTCCTTAACTGCTAAAATTGCTCAACAGGTAAAGGGAGCAAGGATTCTTTCCTTTGAAGGACTCACAAGCCCCTGTACCCTGTATTTACCAGCTGGCAATCATGCTGAACCTCTTTCCCAACTTAGAAAAAGCCAGATGATGGGCATCCCTGATGCTGAAGGTTCCTATCTTCCATCCATAAAAAGGTAAAATTATCTGGACTCCAGACTTTACTTCTTGGTTTGGGCTGGCTAGTGACCTTCATCCCAAAAGTTACCTGAAAAAATACCTTAGCACCATGTGGAAGGAAAGGATAATCTGGAACTCAAGCAACCATCTTCTTAACTGTGGGAGAGGGGACACATGGGCTCAGAATGGCTGGGGGAAGAGCCCTGGGTCAAGCCCCCAGGCTCTGCCACCTCTGGAAAATCTGCCCTGCCCCTTTCCCTAAAGTGCACTTTATACCACATAGGGACATTATAGAAGGAACTCTTTGTGGGGAACAATTTATAGTGGAGGAAAGCCAGGCTCCAGTTTGAAATGAAGGCATCTGAAACAGCTATTTTGCCAATGAACTGGAAGCCCCCAAACCAAAAGGTAGAGATGGGAAGAACTTGTAGCCCCATATAGGAAAAAGGAATCCAGTTCATCGCTTCAACCTGAGGACATTGTGATGCAAATCACTTAGCAATTTTCCACCCTGTTCAATCCTCAAACCCAAGGAATCAGTCATTCTGACTATACTTGCCTATAACTATCACCACAGAAAGATGAGCAGCTATTTGACAAACTGTGGGGAAGTGATCTGCCTCCTCAATTTTTAAAAAATATTTGTTTTTTAGTTGTAGATGGATACAATACCTTTATTTTATTTATTTATACGTGGTACTGAGGATTGAACCCAGGGCCTTGCACGTGCTAGGCAAGCACTCTACCACTGAGCCATAACCCCAGCTCGCCTCCTCAGCTTTTGAGAATATTTTTAACTTTGAGTTATGGTCATTAGGGGTGGAGAGTATCAAAAGGGGTTTGGACAAGAAAAGGAAAAGGTTCCTTGGCAAGCCATGGTCTCCATCTGGGAAAAATAGAGGGAGGCAAAAGGCAGACTTTGTAGGACAGAGATAAACATCTGGAATCTCTTGATTTAGGTGAGGGCAATATTAAGAAAATTATATGTAGAATTTATCAGCCCTTCCATTTTACCCTCCCCTGTGCTATCCATAAAAGAGAAGGGAGGAAGAGCCTATTTCTCTGTCGTCTTAGGATGCTAAGACATTCTTCTGCTTAAGGCTTTATATGTACGTGTATGTGTGAGTAGTGTGTGAATGTGTGTGTATGTGTGCATGCACACATGTGTTTGTGAGAGAAAAGGATCACAGCCCTCTAGCTCCCATTTCTCATTTTATCATCTCTATGTTCTCTGCTCAGTGATTAACACCACTCAGTGTGAGACGAGTATATGAGAAAGAAGAAAACATTCCCCCGCCTCCCTATTGCCCCAAATGAGGATAGACTATGCTTAGAAATTGCTAAATACATCATTAGATATTTAGAGAGTGGGACAGAGAGAAGAGAGACATAGCAGCAGCTTCCAATATATAGATACAGAGTACAAAGAGATACATAGTAAGTGAGAGAAGACATCAAACAGTACAGTCCAACAACAGGGGTTGGGAGGGGAGTTAGTATCAGAGACCACAGGTTTGCAGCATGCTGAGAGAAGAGGCCTCAGTCCCTCTTAGAAACTGGGGAAGAAAGAGAAAGAGTATGTGAGGAACCAGCCTACAGCCCAGCAGCTGTGGAGGAACAGGTGACATTTGTACATACTTTGGTTTATAGTACAGTTCCTTTAATAACAATTATCTAAGCATTTTCCAGCCCCTGCTTCACCACCCTGGACCCTCCCTAAGTCCTCCTTCCCTGTTCCTACGTCTCCACTTTTCATGTCTTTCTGCCTATGTGTGCCTAGCCTGCTATCCTGGAAAACCCCTAGAGAGGATTCAGCTTGGACACAGCCCAGGAAGAAACTGGCCATGTTCTCTCATTTCTAGTTCTATAAGGATCCAAATGGATGACAAAACTGTATCCTAGTGCCCAGTTCTGGGCCATAAAGCAACTGGATAAGAAGCCTGGTGATACACAAAAACCAGGAAGGTGCCTATGCTAGAGACAGGGTCAGATTTATGGGACATTTTTAAAGATTTTTGGTAGTATGTATAGATATGAGGAGATGTCATGGATGTGGGAGTAAATCAAACATTGCCTTTACTGAAGATGTCTTAGTTTAGAAAATCTCTTTCCATCCAAGATCACTTTAGAGTGGAGGTAGAGGGAGGATTGAGATGATCTCCCAAGATTGCCTATTATCTAAGATCTATGACCAGTGGGGGCTCTACATGGACAGCAGTCCTTGCTCATCTCATCTTCTGACATGCAGCAATGACCCCTAGTGGCATAAAACAGTACTGTGGATGTTATTATAGCCAAAGGAAAAAGCATTCAGTTCCAGAAAGGTCAGTGTTCATAACCACACAAAGCAGCTGGGCTGATGTAGCCCCAGCAGGGGAAAGCAGGAGTTGAGAGGTCACTATATAGCAAATGTTTTGAGATGGTTAAAGAAATAAAAGGAGAACTAGAGGCTGTGGACAAGAAAGGAAGCCATCTGAGGCCAGTGCTACCTGAAAGTGCAGGTTATATAGCCATTGGTGTGGGAGGTTAGCTGGCTGCCGTCTCTTGGTGGAGAGGGAAGAGCTTCGCCTGGTCCTCAGCTTCATAGCCGCAGGGCAGGTCACTCCTGGAAGAATAGAGACACCACAGTCAGCTCCATATAAATGAAAATATTCCTGTTGTGGCCAGTTCTCTGATAGCATTCCTGTGAGATACTGGCAAGGGCAGGTCTACTCAGGCTTTACAGGAACACAGGGAAAAGCAGGGCCAGAGATATGTAAATGACTTGCCCAAGGTCACAGAGTTCCCGGTGATGGGAGAGACCATATCATCAGATGTCCACAGCCCCATAACTAGCGTAGGGAGAGGCCATAGAAGGGACTAGAAGAGGGGAGTGTTCTGCACTGAGGTAAGAGGAATGCCTGGGATCTCCCCACATCCACGACAAGAATGATCTTCACTTCCTCCTCCCCTCCCCTCAAGGCTCCAGAGAAGCTCTAAGTAGGGCAGAGGGAAGTTTAGTAATTTCTTTTGGTGCCACTCAGAGAACCCAAGGGTAGTGGGGCCTGGCATACCTATTGTCGTTGATATCTGTAGCATTTCCTGAACAGATCAGCATTGAGAACACAGGGTTAAAAGAAGAAGAAAGGATACTGGGTATTAGGAATGGTCTCCCCAGACTCTCTCCCATTCTAATCCCTTAGAGGAAAAGGTAAATTAGGACATTCTATCCTCAGCCACCCCAAACTGCACCATTTTTTTGTTTGAGAAGATAAGGGGACAGGTAGGAAAGGTGGAGATAGGCACAGTCAATAATAGGAGGAATCCACTTCTAAGAAAGAACTGAAATCTGAAGAGGTGTGTGCATGCGTGTGCGTGTGTGTGTGTGTGTGTGTGTGTGCACGTGCACGCACGCGCATCTGTGCGCACATATATTTTTTTTGGTAATGCTAGGGATTGAACCCAAAACCTCATGCATGCTAAGCAGGTAAGAGCTCTTACCACTGAGCTACATCTCCAGTCATATGTATCTTTTTATTTAACGTCCAACACATGAGAAAGGTTTAGTTAGTGTTCATTGTAAAATGGGGTAACTTACTTTTCTCATACCTTCAAAACTTCACTGGGGATTCCAAAGATCACTTACCATTGTCCATGTTGGCCTTCTGATAGGAAGCCAAGGGGCCACCAGAAGATGTGGCTCCACTGCTGGTACAGGAGTTAGCAAAGCTGGGTATAAGAGAGAGATGCACCCATTGGGTTGGCAACTACCCTCTACTATTCTTTTCTTTCTTTTTTTTTTTTTTTTACTAAGCATTAAACCCAGAGATGCTTTACCAATGAGTTACATCCCCAGACCTTTTCATTTATTATTTTTAGACAGGATCTCACTAAGTTGCTAAAGGTCTTACTAAGTTGCTGAGGCTGGCCTCAAATTTGGGATCTTCCTGCCTCGGCCTCCCAAGTCATAACCTCCACTATTTGTGGATCACTAATCCACATTTACCCTCAGCCACAAAGCTACACAACCCTCCCACCTCTTGAGAACAGAGGACAATAAACAGAGCAGGCAGAGAGGGTACAGTCCCACCTTCTAATACGTATGATTAGACTGAGAAAGATTTAGAAATTAAGATACTTAGGAAAATAATTTTCAACAAATAATTGGCCCAATCCCATGCCTTCCAGGGTTAAGAGAGCTTTAGGTTGAGACTCCAGCCCACATCCATGGTCACTCACTACACATCTGAGGTGGAACTAGGTGTGGCCTGCAGGTACAAATTCTGATAGTTCTGGAAGAGGCTGTTGGTGTAACTGATGCACTCAGGGCTCCGGGTGCCATAGGGGTTGGTGGGAGAGGATGCTGGATAGTGGCCAGGCCGCACAGGTTTGGCTGTGAAGAGAGGAAATGACCATGAGGTTGCTGTTACCCTGGTTCTTGAAGTCATTTTGCTGGGACTAAACCAAGTTGCTTGTAACATAATTCATCACTTATTTCTTTTTGGGGGGTGGCCAAAGTTAGGGTCCAGAAACAATACTCTAGCTGCTTGGCACATAGGAATTTTCTGAATTTGCTTCAGGTTGTATTCCCAGCACTCATGATGACATCTACTCACCAATCTGGGCAGAATGGCCCCTCTTTCCAGAGCTCTTGTACCGAACAGCTTCCTTGATGCGGTCTACCTCCTGCTGGTACCGGCGCTTGTCCTTCATGGCGCCCTCCTTGGCCTCCTTCAGTGCACCCTCCAGGGCCTTAACTCTCTCAGCCGTAGCCCTAAGTCGTTTTTCCAATTTAGGAAGCTCACAACGCAGATCTGCATTGTCACGTACCAGCTGTGGGGTGAGCCAAAGGGAAGAGGCCAAAATAAAGGGGAGTGACCCAAAATTGAATCACCCAGTGGTGTGTGGGGTGAGGGGTAGGGAAAGAGAATAAAGAAAAATAAAGAGTCAAAAAGCCTTATTCCCTTTATGTAATGTGCTATTCTATCCAGTTCTTTCCTTCATACATCATTTTCTAGGCAGCAAAACTTGGCATCTCTACTATGGCCCAGAACTCTGCCTAACCTGGACACTCCCCTCCACCATATCTCATAGTTTATGCCAGATCAACAGCTTCAGGGCCCCCATGGGGATGAGGTACCCCCTTCCCCAGAGATGGATGTGTGGGCATGCAAAAGGCAAGGCAGCAAGAGCATGGCCACAGTCTGGAGAATGGGTGCAGGCAGTTGCAGTGCAGAGCAGGGGCAGAAGCTGGAATTCAGGAATCTCCACACACATCCATATACACATGGTGACCCATAGGAAGGAAAGAAAATGTTTGAGGTCTCACAAACATTTGTGCTTATTCCCTTCACATTCAAGAACTTTCTGGGTTGTCCCTCCCCCTATTTACATTAAGCTACACTGTGATAGCAACCACTTTGCAGCCAAAAAAGACTCCCTAATTTTTCCACACAGTGACTGGGGGCACTACAGACTGCTAAAGGAGCAGGGCCTTGTAGGATATCAGGCAAGTTGGCATAGCAGGGAACACTGAGAGTACCGGGGAAGAGCTAGAACCTTCCATGAAGCTTTAATATGGACAATTTAAGGATTATAATCAATGTTTTGTTGTGATAATACTTTAGCTTAATTGGCACAATGGCTGTGGTCCTGGCGATTAAGATTCTGAGAAGTTTTTTACATCTTTCTCTTTTTTCTCAATAGACTCTTGTCTATTGAGGTAGGATACTGTGGTAAGTTCTCTGTTCTTCAGGGGAGCAGTGTTTGATCTTTAGGACTTAGAAAAGAGGCAGAAGTGTCAATGAGGGAAAAGGAAATAGTCTCTAGTTTTTTCTTGTTTGTTTGTTTTGGGGAAGGGTATTAAGAAATTTAATATGCATTTGGACAGAGAGCTAAAGTGAACACACAGGAATGAAATTAGAATGACAGAACTGATTAAAAATGTTTCCTGGCTGTCCTTCAACTTTTCAATAGTGTTGTTACATTGTTTTATAATAAGGGAAGGAAAGAAAGATGGTAGTAAAGTCCTCTGAAGACCCAAATAAAATCAATAAACCCAGCAGATTACCACTGAGCTGCAGGTTTGGAAATTCTTTACAAAAAAAGATATACTATTTACTATGTAAACTGAGCATCATACTGGAAAGAAAGAAGGCTAAGTTCTAGGCTAGTGAGAATATGAGTTAGCTAGAATTTTAAGGAGGATTTGGGGTCGGGTACTAGAGATTGAATCCAGGGAAGCTTTACTACTGAATATTATCTCCATCCCTTTTAATTTCTTAATTTTCAGACAGAGTCTCACTAAATTGCCCAGGCTGGCTTTGAATTTGCAATCCTCCTGACATAGCTTCCCTAATAGCTGGGATTACAGGTGCCACTGTGCCAGCCTTAAGGTAGATTTAAAAGGAAGAGAATGAAGTCTGGGTTGGATTTCCAAGGGCTTTGCATATGCTAGGCAAGTGCTCTACCACCGAGCTATAGGCCAGCTACAGGGTTAGAGTTTCTTTTACAAATCAATTTGAAGAAGGCCCAGGAGACCTTGGAGGGTCTCCAGGCTCAGCTCCTTGTTACTAGTGCAGGTGCTCCTGCTGTGCACACACCAAACATTTCCTGTCCTGACTCCTCTGGACTGCCCTTTCACCTCCCCAGCCCATACCTTTGACACCCAATCTTCCACCTAAGGAATCGCAGCAAGAAGGAGGGGGACAGAGAGGCAGCAACTTAATACACAGGAGTTCTGACTGGCTCCAACCAGGAGCCATCTTGAACACATCATTTAATATCCTATATGCCTGCCCCGGATCTATGTAGATGTAGCTTCCTTCATGGAAGAAAGCCCAATTCCCTTACTTTTCTTGTCTCCCTGCTTTCCCTCTCTAGCTAAGATCTGACATACTAATATTCCTCTTTTCTTTTCTTTCTTAAGTCTACCACTGAGCTACACCCCCAGTCTTCTGCTATCCCTCTTCTACAGTTAAGGCCCTATGCCTCTTCAATCTTTGTCCAGTTCAACCTCTCCCTCCAAGATAGGCCTGGGGAATTCTTCTCTGAGCAGAAGTGGGTCAGAAAGTTTGAGAAGTGAAAAATAGAAATAAAAGAAAGAACAAAGTAAAAGTGGGACCAAATATGATATAAAGATGGGGTTAGTAGAGAAAAGTAAGGAAAATGTGCAACTAGATTTTCCTAAATCCAAGGGACCACCAAGGATTTGGGTATCATAAGGGACCTGGCCTCAAAAGTTCTCTTTACTTCTTCTTTGCATTCTTACCTGTTTGTGAACCTTTGTAAGTTGTTCCAGGTTGTTCTCAAGAAAGGAAATTTTCTGTTTTTGGGAGTGAATCCCCCCACTGTCCTCGGGCTCCATTTCTGCACTCTGCTTAGAGATGGAGAGAAAGATGTGGCTGTCATGAGGCTAACCAGGTCCCAACTAGGTCAGGCCAAGCAAGTTCCATAGGGAACAGCAGGGCCACAGAAGCCTGAGGAGGGGAGGAATATATGGGGCTGGTAAGATGTGGAGGATCTCACTCACTTTCTTTTTTTTTTTTTTTAAAAAAGAGAGTGAGAGAGGAGAGAGAGTGAGAGAGAGAGAGAATTTTTAATATTTATTTTTTAGTTCTCGGTGGACACAACATCTTTGTTGGTATGTGGTGCTGAGGATCAAACCCGGGCCGCACGCATGCCAGGCGAGCGTGCTACCGCTTGAGCCACATCCCCAGCCCTCACTCACTTTCTTGACTCGAGTCGTGACGTCTTGAACGAAAAGCTTGCGAAGGTTGTGGAGGGTCTGGAGTTCCCGGGCCTGGAAAAAATGATGGAAAATTGGGGATAGCCAGATACCAGGTCTGCCTACACCCTCCAAAACTATTGGAAACTTTAGTCTATACAGTCAAGTGTCCCTCATTCCTTAGGAAAAGATGTGTCCTGATTATGCCACAAGCTAACTACAAAGGAGAAAGAGCAATGTGGTGAGGAAGAAATTGTAGTAGGGGATGCAGCCCTCCCTACCCTGTTAACTTGGTACAGAAGGAAACCACTCACAACTGTCTCCTCCAGACCTTTGAGGTCCTGCTTGGACTGCTCATGTCGCTCGTACAGAAATCTGGAGAAGAAAAGGAGAAGTTAGAAAACAGAAAAATCCTTCAGGACTCCTCCTCCTCTCACCTTCCTACTCCCCATTCCTTTTATCTCTATTTTACTATTATTTATTATATAAGTTGCTCATGTTTACTCTGGAAAAATCAGAAAAGAATTTTAGAAGAGAGTTAAGAGGAGTTTTTATAAAAAGCCTTGATTCTACCACTTACAGAGGAAACGCCTGGTATCCATCTTTGCATACTATTTTAAATAAAAAATTATTTTGAATAATTATTAAATAAAAATATCAAATATCAACATAAAATAAAATATTAAATAAAAATTATTTTGTGGGGCTGTGCTTGTAGTTCAGTGGTAGAGTGCTTGCCTAGCATGTGTGAGGCTCTGGGTTCCATCCTCAGTACCACATAAAAGTAAATAAATGTATCTATTTCTAACTAAAAACTAAAATCACTATAAAAAGTTTTTTTTCGTACTAGATACGTATTAGATAGAGGGTTCCAGGGGCCCTCTATCACTGAGCTGCACCTCTAACCCTTTTTATTTTAGGATAAGTTCCCACTAAGTTGCCCAGGCTGGCCTTAAACTTGCCATCCTCCTGCCTTAGCCTCCCAAGTAGCTTGGCTCCCTGCTTATATACTATTTTTTCTAGGCATATATATCCATATAAATTTTTATGAGATTAGATCATTCAAACTGCTTTGTAACCTGATTTTCACACTTAACAGAACACTTCAAACCACTTTCCATCCATGTCAGGTTATCCACAGCAGTTGTCATTTTTGGTGGTCTCCATTTTTCTAAACCTTCCCCACCCCATCATATTTGCTTCTTGTGAGTCACTGCATCACATCTATGTGTGTGTCCTGCCTCTGCAAATGCATCTGAGCAGTTAAGAGCCTACACGGCCACTGGCCTGCCAGCAAACTCCTCACTCACGTCAGCTCCTGAAGCTTGGTGCTCTTCTCATGTTCTTCATTCTTCAGCTTCTCATAGTCAGCCTGAAGTTTCTCCAGCTCTAACTGGAGCTTCTGATTCAGGCTACAGAGGGTCAGGGACATTGGAGAGAAAAAGAGATGTTAATGAACAGGAAGGAAAGACCAGCCCCTCAAACATGTGCTTTCTTCTTGCATGAGGGAGTCCAGTTAAAACTAATGCATCTACCTTCAGATATCAGGGGCAGACACAGGTCATACTTCCATGACAGTAAAGAACCCTGAGCTATCTAATAAGGCCAAAAAGGATAGGAATTAGTCTTTAATGCTTCTATCTTCTGAATTTGGGCTGTGAAGTTATATGATTGTTGAGGGAATGACACATGGAATTTAAAGAACCTGGGGCTGGGACTATAGCTCAGTGGTAGAGCACTTGCCTAGCATGGGTGAGGCATGGTATTTGATCCTCAGTACCACATTAAAAGAAAATAAATACATGAGTTATTTAAAAAATTAAGAAAAAAAAAGAAATTAAACAACCTGATCCAGAAGGATCATTTGAGTAGGCACAACAAGGAAAGTGGGCCCAATGGAGACTGGAGCCACCCTCAGGGATCCTTACTCTTTAAGCTCATCAATAGTCTTCTGCTTTTCATTGATCTCATCCCTGAGCCGGGCCAGCTGCCGGTGATGGGCCTCCCGGTGACTTTCCATCTGCAGCTCCAAGGCCTTCTGCAAACAACCCCACCCCATGCTCAAGAGTCAGACTCCCAGACATGAGTTTCATGAGGGCCAGCACAGCCCTGGCCCTGCCAAGCCCCAGTTTCCCCCCACCCTCCCCACTCACCTTCACTTCATCTGCATCCTGAGTGTCCGGCTCCTTGTCCTTCAAAGCCACTTCATTAACAGTTTCTAAGGGGAAAAGGGGAATATAGCTTCCATCAAAACTACCTCCTTCAGAAAAAAATTTATGTTGTGACCAGCATTCCAGGCAAGTTAGGGGATGGACTCACAGGGAAGTTCTTCTGGTTAGGACAGTCCAATTTGATACAGCAGGGACAGAAAACAAGGGAGGGTATATGATGCTCATAAAGTGACCTATATGCAAAAGCCTGACTAAATAATATATGCGTTCAGGCTGATGCTTTGGGTGAGTGGTTGCTGGGTGATTTCTTCTGATGTGTGCGACCTTCCCTCCCTGACCCTTTGGAATCTCAGATTCCAGGATGGCTATGATACAGGTCTAAGAAGGCTTTACCCTGAGCCTGGAGTTTGGCTAATTCATCACTCAAGGAGTCATAGGACTCTTCCAGGTGTCGCTTCTTCAGCTCCACACTCTGCATGTATTCCGTTAGTGAGCGGATCTTAGCCTCATGCTGGTAGAAGAAGGAGGGGGAGAGAAAGGAAACAATGGAGCAAAGCACACAACTTAGGCAGCACAACTTCCATAAACTCATGCTCTACTCCCAAGTCCTCCTTTCCTGCTGCACCTTCCATGAGGATGTAGGGCTGGGAGCCATTCCCATGGAGACTCTTCCTTCAGAGCCTCAGCTCAGAAAGCAATACCGCCTGAGTCTCTGCTTCTTGACCCCGGATCCTACTCCCTGCCACCCAGCTCTTCTGTTCTTGACTTCCATAGAATGCTGATATTAAGGTGAGTGTTAGGAGTTTTACCTATAACCACACAATATCCTTCTCTCTCCTACATCATCTAAAGGTTCTCAATCTCAGGTAGTCACCTGTGAGATGAGGAGCTGGCAGGATGAGAGCTCCCGCCCAGTCACTTCCATCTTGCGATGACATTCCACCTGGAGGTTCTCTAGCTGCCGACACCGCTTGACTACAGATTTGACCTCCGACTTGATTTTGCTGATGTAGAGTCTGGCCACGGTGAACTCTTCCTCGATGGCCCCACTGATCTCCACCGGCTGAGGGTGGGCAGAGGAGGAAGAGATGCTTCCCTGCAGTAGAGAAGCCTTTACCTGCTCCCTTCCACCTTCTGCACAAATCCACATGCCCAGGGATTCAAGTAGGACAAGTATTTCCCAAGGACCTTTACCAGCTATCCTGGTATTTCACACTAAGGCCCTCTATCTACATTTAAAGATAATCCCCCTCTTCCATCTTAAAAAGCAATATAATTTTCTGTTTCTTCCTTTCCATTTATTTATTTTATTTTGAGGCAAGATATCATCACGTTGTCCAGGCTAGTCTTAAATTCCTGGACTCAAATGATCCTCTTTCCTCAGCCTTCCAAGTAGCTGGGACTACTGACACCACCATACCCAGCTTGATTTTTTTTTTTTTTTTTTTTGTAGACCAACTGATCCACTTGATTACTCAGGTCAGTCTTCTCACTGCACAGATTTGCATATGTCATTCCTAACTCTGTGCCCCACTTCTTGATCCTACCACTGGCACACCTCACTTGTTTGTTTGCACCCTTTAGAATGCATCTTTTCAATGGAGGCTATGCAAACCTCTATTGTTTTCCTGAGTCTAGACTGAAGGCATGCACATTTCTAGGCAATTTGGGCCACCTTTTTCAGTGTCTCAGAGGGTCTGGATTGTCCCACCAGTGCCCAGTGCAAAAATGACCTGAACTAGACTGCTGTCTCTCCCCACTCACCAGCTTAATCTCCCCGTTGCCCACGATGACACTGAACTCACTCAGGTCCTTCATCAGCCCATTCAGCACTTCAGCAATTCGTTTTCGCTGGTGTCCACTGACCTCCTGGAGTCGCTGCAATTCAGACTCCAGGGACAACATGGTGGCCTGGGGACAGCCCCTCAGGTCATTCCCATTGCCATCTTCCTTCTTCCCTCCCCAGTCCAGATTGAGGCTCTCATTTCAGCATGGCAAAGCACAGTGCATGGTGAGGGAGGGTCATAATACACTGAATAGCACTAGAGAGATGCAAACATAGCCCAAAAAGACTCAGAGGTCCCCTTGGACATGGAAGGTATTCTGAGGTCAGGGAGCCCTTGGACCACTCGTAGGCCACTCACCACCTTCTGGGACAGCTCGTCCACTAGCAGCTGATTCTGCTGGCTTTTTTCCTCTACCTCCTGGGACTTCTGGTCATAGTTTACAGCCAGCTCCTCCAGGGCCTGCAGCACTTCTTTCACCTCATCCTTCGCAGCGTCATTCTCTGACTGCAGGTGGCTCAGCTCCCGCTGGACCTTCTCATTGTCTCCTCGAGTGGACACCAGCAGCTTCAAAGAAGAGGAGGGACATGTAAAGGAGCATGTAATCAATGATCACTTCCATGGGCCCTGGGCCTGGGGGAGCCAAGACCCCCCACAAAGCAAAAGTCAAAAGGAAATAGGCATTACATTTCACAGAAATTGGGAAACAAAATAAAGAAGGACCTGGGGGCTGTGGCTGTGGCTCAGTGGCTGAGAGCTTGCCTCACATGCACAAGGCACTGGGTTTGATCCTCAGCACCACATACAAAAATATAATAAACAAAACAAAGATATTGTGTCCATCTACAACTAAAATAATAATAATAATAAAAAAGACGGACCTAGACTCCAACAGCAGTGTTTTAGTAACAGCTCAATGAAGTTCTCAGACTGCTATAGTTTGGGGTGACTAGCTGCTAAGAAGAATGGCCCTTCTTCCATCTGATTTTAAAGAGGCCTTTTTCACATTTTTCAAAGATGAACATAAACCCCTTCCCTTTAGTGTCTTGCCCTAAATTGTCTTCCAGTACCTCCTCCTGGTCCAGCATTTGCTGCTTGAGTTTCTCGATGAGTTGGCTCTGCTGGTTGATCTCATCATCCTGTTAGAAGCAAGGGGAAGACAGTAAGGGAAGCCACTCCCTCCAGTTTAGAGTTCTGGGACTTTGTGAGAGACGTAGGATCCCAGTAAAATTCCAGGTAGTTTAGGCTTTGATTTAGAAAGCTCATGTGCTTAAAAGAGGTCTTTTCCTTGACTTCTTTCCCTGACCTCAGCACTCTCTAAATTCCTTTCTTCCAGGAAGTTGATATAACCTTGATAATACACAGCAAAAATCTTTAAATGTTCACATTTAAAAAAAATATTTTTTAGGGGGCTGGGGTTGTGGCTCAGTGGTAGAGCACTTGCCTTGCATATGTGAGGCACTGGGTTTGATTCTCAGCCCCACATATAAATAAATAAAATAAAGGTCCATTGACAACTAAAAAATATTAAAATATATATATTTTAGTTGTAGATGGACACAATATCTTTATTTTAGTTCTTTGTGGTGCTAAGAATCAAACCCAGTGCCTCACATGCACTAGGCAAGCACTCTACCACTGAGCCACAACTCGAGCTCCAAATGTTCACATCTTTTTTTTTTTAATTTTTTTTTTAGCTGTTGATGGACCTTTATTTTATTTATTTATAGTGATGCTGAGAATTGAACCCAGTGCCTCACACATGCTAGGTAAGTGCTCTTCCACTGAACTATAACCCCAGCCCCAAATGTTCATATCTTTTAAGAAATCTCATTCTAGCACTCCTTTCTTTCTTTTTTTAAAAAAATATTTTATTAGTTGTTGGTGGCCCTTTATTAATTTTTATGTAGTGCTGAGAATCAAACCCAGTGCTTCACACATGCCAGGTAAGCACTCTACCACTGAGCCACAACCCCAGCCCCACTTTAGCATTCCTTTCTAACCAAATCATTCAAACAAAATCTTGTGTAGAAGAGGCAAAGATAGTCATTTCAGAGTTATTATTAATAGGAAAAAAAACCCTACAAGCCCTGTAATAAGTGAATTGTTAAATAAGTGGACCCCTAGGCAGTAATTTAAAAATACTTTTAACTGTGCATGGTGGCCCACACCATAATCCCAGCAGCTCAGGAGGCTGAGGCAGGAGGATTGCAAGTTCAAGGCCAGATTCAGTAACTTAGCAAGGCCCCAAACAACTTATTGAGACCCTGTCTCAAAATTTTAAAAAAAGGGATGGGGATGTGGCTCAGTAATAAAAGCACCCCTGGGTTTAATTCTTTTTATGAAGAATTATTAATTGAGTAAAAATGCTCATAAAAGAACACTAAATGAAAAAAATTAGATGTAAAATTATAATATATCTAAAGTGTATGATATATCCATAGAGGAAACCAAAATGTTAGCAGTATTATTTCTAAATAGTGGGGTGTTGGAAGGTAATAATTTTCTTCTGTATATTTGTATTTATTTTCCACATTTCAAAAATGAGCAATTATCCCTTTTAAAATCAGAAAAAAAAGGCAGTATAAGCTAAAATTTTAAATCCCGTGCCTCTTATCTAACTGTGCCCTGCCCGGCTGCCCTTACCTTGTCATCAAGCTGCTTATATAGGCGGCGGATCTCCTCCTCATATTTCTGCCGCTCCTCAGGTGCGATACGCACCACAATGGATGAGTTGTCATTCACAGGGGTCTCCTCACAGAGCTCAGCCCCCAGGGCTGCATCCTCCCCAGCCAGACGCTCTGTCTCAGGCACATTCTCTCCTGGCAGAGGGGCAGAAGAAGGGGGGGAAATGGGAGAAGAGAAAGCTACGTGCACAAGTCTTTTCCCCCTCACTCCAAGTCCTCATCTCTTTCCTGCAGGAGCTGCAGGGGACAGTCCATGCCCTCACTCCCTTCCCTCATGACTGTTGCACTGCACTCTTCCAGAAACACAGCCCTCCTTCCTGAACACAGCCAAGCAGGGCTGTCCCTCCCACTGCCTCTCATTCCCACGGGATCCCCATCTAACCAGGATCGCCATCTAACCATTGCGCCAGCGGCTCAGCTCAGCCTCCAGCTTTGCAATTGTTTCCTTCTGGGCCTTGGTCTTCTCCTTCTCCTTCTCATATTTCTTCTTCCACTGCTCGGCAGTCAACTCCAGATTTACTGAGGCAGTGTTCTTAATGGTCTTTGCCCTGGATGAAGAGAATAAGAAATTGATGAAACCTGTGTTAGGCTTAGGTGACACCTGAGGGAGAGAGCCTCAGGGTCTGGAGAGGGACCTGGCTCCCAGTATCCCTCTAGGGACTCTGCCACTGACCGCTGTCCAAACATCAGTGTAGACTTGGTCTCTGCATCATTGTAACTGGATGGTGAGCAGCAGATGAACATAGTTGTACGGCAGTTTCCTCCCAGAGAGTCCTGAAGAATCCGGGTCATTTTACTATCACGATATGGAACGTAGCTTTTCTGGGAGAGAATGGAGGCCATGACTTAGAAAAATAAATTCAAAAGGAAATCAAAAGAATAGTAGTGCTGCCTAAGGATCAAGAAACCTACAAGTTGGGGCATAATTAAAGAGGGACACTGGGAGAAGGTGTAGTTAGGGTGAAGGGAACTTAGGAAACACTTACAGTGCCCTCTGCTAATGCAGAGATCACATTCCCCAGGGCAGACAGCGACTTGTTGATATTCTTTGCCTCATCCAGCACAGCTCCCTCTGCTCCAGTCTTGCTAACCTGCCAGGGTATTAGGAGACAAGTGTATCAGGAGCAGCTACAAAGACTGTCACAGTCTCTTTTCTACTTGAGGACCCAGTCCAAAAATGGGGGGAGGGAATGGAGAAGAGGACAAGTAAGAGGTATTAGCCAGAATCAGGGAAGGCCTTTCCTCCATTCTACTATACTCTCTTACCAAAGGCCACTCCCACTGCCATATTATATAATTCCATTTATTTGAAATATTCAGGACAGGCAAATCTACAGAGACAGAGAATAGATAAGTGGCTGCCAGAAAATGGACAGAGGGGAGAATGGGAAGTGACTATTAATGGGTGATAAAAATGTTCTGGAATTAGACAGTGGTAATGGTTATACAACCTTGTGAACACACTAAACCCACTAAATTGTACACTCTAAAATAGTGAACTTTCTGATTATGACTATCTCAATTTAAAAAAAAATTTAGTTGTAGATGAACACAATACCTTTATTTTATTTATTTTTTTGTGGTGCTGAGGATTGAACCAGTGCCTCACATGTGCTAGGCCAGTGCTCTACCACTGAGCCACAATCCCAGCCCTGAATATCTCAATTTTAAAGGTTTTTGTTTTGTTTTGTTTTTTGGTACTAGAGAGTTAATCCAGGGGCACTCAACCACTGAGCAACATTCCTAGCCCTTTTTATTTTGAGGCAGGTTCTCACTAAGTTGCCCTATTAACCACTGAGCCACATCACAGTCTATTTTTACTTTTTATTTTGAGACAGAGTCTCACTGCATTGCTTAGGGCCTTGCTAAATTGCTGAAGCTGGTCTTGAACTTGTGATCCTCCTGTCTTGGCCTCCCAAGTCACTGAGATTACAGGTGTGTGCCACCACACTAATCTTAAAAAAAAAAAAACAAATCTTTTAATTATAAAACAAGTAACCTCCCCACAAGGCTTTCTTTCACCAACCCATAGGACCCCTAACCTTCTCACTCCCAGCCAGGTCCACGAGATACAACTTCCCACTGAGCTTCTGCTCAGTCTCCATGTTCTCCTGCTTGATGTTGATGAGGAAGATGCTGTGGCTTCGAGAGCTGTGTTCATTCATGTCTGTAGAGGAGAAATGTGACAGGTATCAACCCCTGTGAACCTGCACTCCTCAATCCCAGCTGCTACTGGCTGCCATTCCCACCCATTGAAAGAGAAGGGACCTGCCAGGACCAACCCTGCCATTTCATCTCCCAGGCAGTGGATGCACAGGCAAGGGGCCCCTCTGCTGAAGGACAATGTCCTCCTTTGCTTGCTTGTTGCCCAGGGGACACAGAAGAGAGGGAGGCCCCTAGATTCAAGAACCCTTTAGATCCCTACTCACTGGTGACAGCAACATGACGATTTGATTTTCCCTCATCAATCACATCCAAAATCTCCTCTGGGCTGGACACAAAGCGTTCAGTACAGCCCTGCAGGGGGCAAATAGATAGTGACCTATAAACTCTGATCTGCAAATTAAGTTGCCTGAACACTTTCCAAGCGACCTTTTAAGATGCTGCCTTTTTTCCAGGTGCACTGGCACATGCCTCAGCTTGGGAGGCTGAGGCAGGAGGATCATGAGTTCAAAGCCCACTGCAGCAAAAGAGAGGTGCTAAGAAACTCAGTGACACCCTGTCTCTAAATAAAATACAAAATAGGGCTGGGGATGTGGCTCAGTGGTCAAGTGCCCCTGAGTTCAATCCCTGGTACCCCGACCCCCCCAGTAAAAAAAAAAAAAACTCAAACAGATGCTGTCTTTTGGGCTAGGGATGTAGCTTAGCAGAAGAGTACTTGTCTACTTGTCTAACATGTGCAAGGCCCTGGGTTTGAGCCCTGGAGACAAAAGAAAGGTCATCGTTTCCAAGCACTCTGACTTTCATAGGCCCCTTAGCATATCTTACCCCTTTAACTTCTGGGTCATTGGCCCACCCTCTTCCCTCATTCCATTCTGGATACACTGACTCCACACCAGTGTCTCGCCCACTCTCACCTTGACAAATGGGACCCGGTTCTTGTCCTCATGCACAGAAAGGTTTGTCTTGGTCACTGAATCAAGATAATGCAGAGTGAGTAAAACCAGCATTTCCACCCCACCCCTCTGCACCCTGTAGTCAACTTGGATGGTGGTTTCTTCTATGTGCTAAATGGAGGAGGGCTTCCCAATGAAGCCTAAATTCCATGTTCCCACTGAAGGCTCAATTCCTTCTCCTCTTCTTCCTCCTTGTCTTCCTCAGGGCTCCAGCTGCAGGGTTCCATCTCCTCTTGAGCTATGTATATGTAAATTCTAAGCTCATCTTCTGAGCCTCTAAGTTTTTGGAAATTCTTGGTGAGGGAAGCTAAAGGACTCAGGTGTGAAGATGTGTATTTTGTATGCCAAATGGCACCAATCCCCACAGCAAGCTGATCTTCCTTTCCTTACCCTCCTCACACACTCTAACCCAGTGAAGTTAATCACTTACCATCCAGAAGGTCACGAATTTTATCCAGGTAAATCTCAAAATAAGAGACCTGGTTTGGGAGAAAGGAGTATGAATTAAAGAGGGCTTATCTTAAATCTAATGTGGGAATTCCAAACTAATGTGACCTGCTCAAAGGATAGTGGTGGGTAGAAGAACAGAAAAGAACATCTTAGTGGAGGTAACCAGAGGGGGAGAGTAACATTGGGGAGCCCAGGATCTTCAGCAGGTTCACTCTAGATTTTCTCCTCCCAGTCCCCATCTGAAGATACCCAGCTGTCATGCCCTGATCACCTTGATGTGGAACTCAAGGTTCTCATCCATGGAGTAGATGTGGTTGAAGATGTCTCGGGCAATCCGGGGAATGATTCCCATCAGCTGAGGGTCATGTAGCTTTCCCTGGGGAGTGAGGATATTCCAGCATGAGACTGAGACTCGAGAAGGATGAGACAACTTCAGGTATACAAGTGAACACAAAGGTAAGAGGTGATAGGAAGAGCATCCTAAGGTAGGAGGTGGTTACCACCATGTCTGCCTTTTAATGGAAGGAGATAACTGAGCAGCCCTTTGGACTTCCTCTGCTGCTACTTTTGCAGATCAAAAGACAACTAGAGCAGTAGGAAGGAGCAAAACTGCAGCAGATTGAAAGGATTCCATTAAACTTCCCTTAAAATATTGCCTCTCAGCTCATCCTGTGTACCCATCTGCATCTGAACCAGGCAACCTTTGATTCTTAGATCTTCCCCCACTGAAAGTCCTTGATCTGCCACTTGCATTCCTAGCTCCTTATTCCAACAAAGTCAGAACCCTCACCTCCATGGTATGTGTTTTCCCTGAGGATGTCTGTCCATAAGCAAAAATGGTGCCATTGTAGCCAGCAAGGACATCTGGAAGAGATAGTGGATAAACATATAGTGGAGATAAGTGAGGCAGGGAATGAGAAGCCTGAGAAAATACATTCTAAAAAGACATCCATTACCTTTGACAATCTGCATGGCACATGCATGATAAACTTGTTCTTGAGTCGTGTTTGGGGGGAACACACGGTCAAAGACATATGGCTTCCCCTGGAGTGAAAATAAGAAATGTTGGCCATCAGTAGGAAAAGTGGAAGGGAGAAGAAATGCACAGACCCATCCATCAGCCTAATAAAGGCACCCCATTCTTCAATCCTCCAAATACATGGAAAATATAGGGGACAAGAGAAATTGGAGAGAGAAGTAAATTGCAGAAGTGAAGAACAATTCATTAACAATAAAAAGCATCTCGAAGTTTTAAAATATCTTCCTCAATAAACCCATTTGTTGGGGCTCCTGTTGTAGTTCAGTGGTACAGCACTTGTCTAGCACATGTGAGGCACTGGGTTCAATTCTCAGCACCACATACAAAAGAATAAATAAAAATAAAGGTTCATCAACAACTAAAAATAATTTTAAAAATTAAATAAACCCATTTGTCTTAATATGGAAAGGTCTTCAAGATAAATTAAGTGAAAGATACAAAGTTAGCAGCCTAGGCAAAACATGAAACCTATACTCAGAGTTCTTGGGAAAACATTAATACAAGTTCTGTCTTGTGAAAAGAATATATGAAATCAGAAATATAGGTCCCTTTGGGGCTGGAGTTGTAGCTCAGCGGTAGAGTGCTTGCCTCATATGTGTGAGGCACTGAGTTTGATTCCTAGCACCACATATAAATAATAAAAAAAAAAAAGTCCATCAACAACTAAAAAATTAAAAAAAAAAGAAATATGGGTCTCCCTTTAAAAAGGGAATCAAGGGCTAGAGTGTGGCTCAGTAGTAGAGTACCTGCAAAGCATGCATGAGGCCCTGGGTTCAGTCTCCAGCACTGCAATGTAAAAGTGTAGAAGCAAATCATTCAGACCCATAGTACTTTGTTTAATTTAGGTAATATGTTTCAAGTTATATGTACTGATAAGAAAACTAATATATATATATATAGAACACATATGTATATATAGAATATATAGGAGTTAGATTCATTTATTTATTTATATTTATATATACTTTTTTTTTTTGTACCAAGGATTGAACCCAAAGGAGCTTAAGCACGGAGACACATCTCCAGTCCTGTATATTTTTTCTATTTTGAGACAGTGTCTCACTAAGTTGCTTAGGGCCTCACTAAGTTGCTTAGGGCCTCACTAAGTTGCTGGAGCTACTGAGGCTGGATCCTCCTGCCTTAACCTCCAGTGCTGCTGGAACTACAGGTGTTTGCCCTGGCTAAGATACAAACTATTTAAAACTCAGGAAACTAAACAAAAAAATTATTTGATATCTAATCATGTTAAAAGTCAGATACTTGCTTAAATTAAATAAGATTATGTTTTTTCTCCAAGTGACAACTTTCTCAGTAGTGTTTACCTGCTAGTCAGTACAAAGAGACTATAACTTACATGTCAAATTGTATAAACTAGAGTTCATCTTTATCCAACTGAAATATAAAGCTCTAGATCTATAGACACCAGAGTTTGGGAGAAATGTTTTAACAAATTAAGGAAGGCCATAAATTTTAGCTAAAGCTGAACATGAGACTCTAGGTTTATATTCCATCAATATACACAGAATTTTTTTCCTAGAAGAAATTCTGCAAAAATCTTGACAGTGTTTACTGTGGAGAGAAACTGGGAGAGAGAGTTTCTGTTTTTCATTGAGTATCCTGTACTTTACATTTTTTAACCATTTAAAAGTATTATATTCAAGATTTTTTAATGTCAAAGATGATGAGAAAATAGTACAATCATTTGTTTTCTTCTTTGAAAGTTTTGTTTTGAGACAGGGTTTTACTAGGTTGCCCAGGGTGGCCTCAAATTTGTGATGCTCCTCCTTAAGTGTCTTTAGTAACTGGGATTACAGGTATGTGCCACTGTGCCCAGCATAATAAATGTTACTTTATAAATATTAAACAAATAAACCTGGCTTCTGGAAAAAAAATCAGCCAGAAATATATATATGTCCTCTTAGTAGTGAAAACTCTAAGACCCAAGAAACAGCTGGGTGTAGTGGTAGAACACTTGCCTAGCATACACAAGGCCCTGGGTTGGACCCCCAACACCATCAAAAAAAAAAAAAAAGATTAAAGCCCAAGAAATAGTATCCACAAAGGAAAAGATGTTGGAAAGGCACTCTTTTTAAAGAAGGAAGTGCTATAAACTGATAAACTGACAGCACCTTTCTGAAGAATCATTCTATTAAATTCCTAAACATCCATGTTCATACTCTCTACCAGGATTCTAGCGCTGAGAACACATATTATAAAACACTTGGCAAAGCACTTAAAGTTGGATATAAAAGAATGTTCACTGGAGTGGTTGGAGTTAGAGAAAAACTGGGCCAAGCATAGTGGTACACATCTATAATCCCAATACCTGGAAAGCTATAGCAGTATGATTACAAGTTCAAGACCAGCCTGAGCAATTTACCAAGACCCTGTCTCAAAAATAAAAATAAAAAGCAGGTGTGGTGGCACACACTTGTAATCCCAGTGGCGGTAAGCTGAGGCAGGAGGATTGCAAGTTCAAAGCCAGCCTCAGCAACTTAGTGAGACCCCAAGCAACTTAGCAAGATTTTGTTTCAAAATAAAATATAAAAAGGGCTGGGAATGTAGCTCAGTGGTTAAGTGCCCCTGGGTTCAATCCCCAGTATAAAAAAATAATTAATTACTTAATAAAAAATAAAAAGGCCTAGGGGTGTTGTTCAGTGGTAGAGCATTTGACAAGCAAGTGCAAGACTCTTGAGTTCAATTCTTAGCACCACAAAAAAAGAAAGGAAGGAAGAAAGGGAGGGAGGAAGGAGAGGATGAAAGAGGAATAGAGGGAGGGAGGGAGGGTAAAAAGGGAGAAAGGAAAAGTAACAGTAATTCAAATATCCATCAAGAGGCTGGAAGTGCTGGAGTTAAAGCTCAGTAGTAGAGCGCTCACCTGGCATGTGTGAGGCACTGGATTCTAGTCAGGTACAGCGGCACACACCCCAGCACCATATATAAGTAAATAAATAAAACAAAAACCTGGGCTGGGGATGTGGCTCAA